GAGTATGCTCACAAATGCTGTGATGTGGAGTGTGGGATTTCCTAAGATCCAGCCCCTGAACTTTTTTTCTTCCTGTGACTTTTCCCACAGGAAGATCACTCCTGCCAGGGAATCAGCTATTCCCCTGACAATATTTACCTGTACATGCCTAAAGAACCAAATCTAACTGCCCGAAGGATGTGTTCACTCAAATGTCTTGGTTATAGCTCTGATTCAGCCTGTACCAAAAGTGACTTGATAATACTTCCCAAATTCATCTCCCTTTGATTTCTATATCCTTTTAGTTGAAAAAGGTCATCCACCAGGTCACCTAGGCTGGAAAACTTTACTCCTTTTGCACCTTGCCAAACTCAAGTCTTCTTGACTTTTGCTTCAATGGCTCCTGAATCTATCAGTCCTTTCTCCTTCTTCTCCCATTCAATTCCTAATCACGTTCCATGAGGAAGATGTTCTTAGCCTCCCTACTCAGTCCCCTTAGCTCTTGCCCCATGCCACTCCACACTTCACCATTCCTGCCCCCACCAGGTTAACTTTGGTGTTGCCAGGATGGGATAGGGCACACCTGTGAACTCAGAGATCCAGGAGATTGAGACAGGAGGATGCAAGTTCAAGAGCAGCCTTGGCAACACAGAGAGAGCTTATCTCAACAGAAAAAAACTAAGGGCTGGGGTTGTAGCTCAGTGGGAAAATGTGGCTGAGTTCAATTGGGGGTGGGCGGCAGGGGTGGGGAGGATTTTCTTTCTTTTTTTCTTTTTTGTATTGTTTTGGTACTGGGTATTGAACCCAAGAGCACATAACCACTGAGCCATATCCAAATTTCCACCAGCACTCTTCCTTTCCTCCTCCTGTGTTAGGGCAGATTCAGGGCCAATGCTGACCCCACTGTTTACCCTCTCTGGTGAGGTCACTTACTGGGAAGATTTAGGATCCACAAATACCTAGAATTGCCTTCTGGATTTACTTGTGTATGTGTGGGTTGTTTTGGTGGAGATCTAATCCAGGGTCTTTCCATGCTAGGCAAGTGCTCTAACACTGAGTTGCACCCCCAAATCACATTTACCAATTTCGAATCACCCACCTCCTTGAAAATTTTACTTTTGGCCAAATTATTAGCTTCCTTTTGTGGTGTAAACTTTTTTGTCTTCTTCCCTGCCATCTAACTATCTTCATGAAAAGAGAAGTGTCACCATAAATTCAGGAGGCAACACTCTTATAGCTCAAATCTCCTCACTTTTCTCTATCACCATGGCCACTGGGCTATTTGAAGGTACTGTTTTCCCTCCATGATATTAGTCTCATCTCTGTGCATCTATGGCTGACCAGGTCCTACTATCCATTCTCCACACAAGATCCAGAGGGATATTCTTCAATTCAGTGGGGTTTGGAGCAACTAGAACTCACACTGTGCTGATAGGAATTAATGGATTAAAAAAAACTTCAGAAAACTACTTGCCAGTATTAGCACTGAATATTTGCAAATGTTAAGAGTCAGCAGTGTTACTTCTATCTAAGAGCAACAATGAAATAATCACATATGTTCACCTAAGGCACCCACAGGAAGGATGATAGCAACATTATTTGCAAAAAAAAACCCCAAACTGTCCACCAGCAGTAGAATGTTTTAGTTGAAGTGTATTCACATGATGGAATGCATAAGAAATAAAAAAGTAGAGCTACACAAAGTAACATGGATGGTTCTCACAAATACAATATTATGCTAAGGAAGCCAGACACAAAAGAACTCATAGTGTATAATTTCATATTATATAGAATACTAAAGAGACCAAAGTAGTTTCTGGGGTTAGAAGACAGAATAATGGTTAACCTTGTGAGTTTTGGGTAGTACCTAGTGATAGTATATCTGGGATTCTGGTAACATAATCTTTGGGTTTTTTGTTCATTTGTTGTATGAATTGGGGTTTTTCCATTTTACCCAGGTCAACCTGGAATTCTTAGTGTCAGCCTCAAGATCCTCCTGCCTCTGCTTCCTGAGGAGCTGGGACTACAGGGGCACGAATGAATTGGTTTTGGAAGTGGGAGTTGGGTAGATGGGTATGTTCACTTTGTAAAACTACATTGAGCTGGGGCTAGGGATGCAGCTTAGTAGCAGGACATGTTCTTAGCATTCAAATGACCCCGAGTTTAATGTGCGTGCGCGCAAGGCGCACACACACACACACACACACACACACACAAGACCAAAAAACAAAAAGAAAAATCCCCAAACTTCTTGCCCTAAATGCTGTTTATGATAGCTTTATTTATTTATTTATTATGGTACCAGAGATTGAATAACATAGGGCACTCTGCTACTGAGTTACATCCTTAGCATGAACTCTTTTTCTTCTCCCCACATCTCCCCATATTATATGGTCTAATTTTCCCAGGTTGATCTCAATCAAAATCATGATTTTCTTATCTCTCTCTCTATCTCTTTGCACTACTGGCAATTGAACTCGGCGTATTTTTCACCAAGCCCTATCTCAGTCCTTTTAATTATTTATTGCCCAGGTTGTTCTCAAATTTGTGATTCTCCCTGCCTCAGCCTCCTGAGTTCCTGGGATTACAGACATGTGTTACCTGGCTGGCTTGTGTTCGTTCTCTCTCTCTCTCTCTCTCTCTCTCTCTCTCTCTCTCTCATACAGGGATCAAACCCAACATCTCATAAATTCTAGATACATGCCCTACCAATGAACTCTACTTCCAGCCCTGTTTATTTGTATTTTTGGTGATACCCACTCCTGTCTGAAATCATCTTCATTCATTTGGTGACTATTAACCTATTTCCTGTTAGGTGAAAGCACTAGTCTAGGCACCAGGCACACAGCAACCAACAAAACAGGCAGTCCTTGCTCTCATGGGCTTCTAGTATTGCTTCCTCGTAATATTTACCTCCACAAAGGAACACAAGATTCCAGGGGAGCAGGGACCTTGTGTCTCTGTGGCTTAATGTGGTATTTCCTGAGAGTGACTCAAGTTGTGGAGGAGGAGAAAGATACCTGTCAGAATATTGGGAGCTCCTCCTTGGGGATTGCCAGCGAAGAAGAGTAGCTAGACTGGGTGGAGGAGTGGGGGGATAATTTAAGCTGAGGAAGGGACATGATGTGACACTGGAGAGTGTGTAGGTGTGGGAGGAGTGTTTCATCACAGAGAGAGTTGAGGTCAGAGAGATAGAATAGTATCCAACAGCCATGAATCTGTGTAAGAAATGGGGAGAAGACAAGAAGGAGTTGCTAGTTCAAGGAGAGTTATCCTCATTTATCTAATAGAGATGTAGCCTGGAATAGGGACAAGGTGAGACCTCTTCTAGAGAACGTTCTGTCATCTGTCCTGAAAAGAGGGAAACTCTGCTGGGTAGATCTCTCAACTTTTCCCCACACAAATATGACACTAGGTTGACCATCTAAAACTTCCCCTAAACGGGGAAAGAGAGGAGGAGGAGATACAGGAAATCTGTGTCCCCTCTTCCTCTACTTCTCTCTGCAGGTCCTCATCTCCAGGAAGCCTTTAAGGCAACTTCTCTGCCCTACTGACCTGCTTCTGAGTTTACCCTTAGCACCCAGCACAGAGTGGGCATCCAGAACGTGGGCTGAGAGACAGTGGATGAGGAGGAGGGAAGGACAGAACTGAGCTGATAGATAGAGTGACTGATGAGTGACATCACTGCCTGGCTCCACACATTTTTGCTGCTTATTATTCTTCTTCCCTGATAACCTCCCACACAACCAGCTG